GAGGTGTTTGCGGTGAGTTGGAGGTCATCTTGGGCTGCATAGTGAGACCCTGATCAAAATTCCTGCCCAACAAACAAAAACAAAGCCAAAGCAAAATAACAACAAAAATGCTCACAAAAAGAGAGAGAGAGAGACCTTGAGTTGGCCCTGTGGGTAAAGTCATTTGCAATCAAATCTAATGACCTGAGTTCAGTCTCCAAGCCCCACGTGGTAGAAGAAGAGAACTGTCTCCTGAAAGCTAGCCTTCAGCCTCCACACAGGTATTACTGCTCCACACATGAGGAAATGTTAAAAATAATAAAGGGGATGGCATTCATTTGGGCTGGGGAGATGGTTCAGTGCTTAAGAGCAATTGCTGTTCTTCCTTCCAGAGATCTTCATCCATGTCAGGTGACTCAAAACTGCCTATAAATCCAGCTCTTGGGGAATCCAGGACCCTCTTCTGGACCCCATGGACATCCGTACAAATATAGCAGACGTTGTCACATAGACACACACACACATCAAAAAAAAAGTCGGAGGAGGAGAAAAGAAGGAAGGAGGGAGGGAGGAAGAAAAGAAAAGGAAAAAAAAAAGAAAGGAAAGCAGTTAGGTGTCGACCAAATCTGTAATCTCAGCACTCAGGAAACAGGTGCAAGAATGGGAAATTCAAGGCACAGAGCAGTCAGGGCCAGCGTAAGCTTCACAGAGCAGTCAGGGCCAGCCTGGGCTATATGAGACCACCTTTCAAACACAATACCACACTGAGTTTGACACCGAGCATTGCAGGGTGTGTAATCCACACCTCCAAGGAGCCAGGGTTTAGCTCTGAGTTTCCACAGACTCTGATCAGCCTCCATGTCACCTGAGGCAGGCAGCTGCCTGAGGGCTCCTCCATCTTGTTAACACCCACAGAGACTGATGCTAAGGGATATTGCTGTTCCTGGGCCTCAGGGCCTCTATGTCTCCAGGGGCACTTACCACGCCTAGATATGAGTTGTCCACCCCCCAAAGCCAGTCTCCAGGCATAGACAGCACTCCATGGCAAGGTGGGCTTCATCACCCAGGCTCAGTCAGACCCAGACTTGCTAGAGCCTGTGGCCAGACTGTGCCTGGTTTAATGAGTGACTCCCAGGTCAGCAGTTCGTGCCCACAGTGCCTGGAGTCCCCAGGCACCCTTAGCAACCCTCGAAACTGGATCCCCAGCCTGACTTCTGGGCCTCTGTGTGTTTATGAATCCGGCTGATGGATGGAGCGGGGCATGTAAACATGAGACCACTCCAGGGCTGCCAGTGTGAGCAGGAAGCAGGGGCAGGGAGCAGATGCTTATGCCCACCAGGGGCCCCAATGGAGGAGCTTAGCCCACCTGTCAGCACAGCTCAGCATGTTAACTGTTAACATAGCACGACTCTGCTATGTTAGGACTGGGGGATAGAGGGCTTGTGCTGGGGCTTCCTGTCTGTTGAGTCACAGCCGGGGGTGGTGTTGGGGGAACATTTAGTCAGTCAAGAGCCTGCTACATAAAGATCTGAGTCTGACCCTCAGCATTCATGTAAAGTTGGACTTGGTAGCCCAGACTTACGATCTACACATGCAGTGTGCCCCTCCACAAATTAAAAAAAAAAAATCAATATATTTTTTTAAAGCAATTCATTTGGGTCAGAGCAATGAATCAGTGGTTAAGAGCACTTGCTGCTCTTCCAGGGGACCTGAGTTTAGTTCCCAGCACCCCTGCCAGCCGTCTGACAGAGACGAAGGCTAAGACACAAAGTGACCATGAGGCTGAGCTCCAGAAGCTAAAAGGAGCCATCCAGAGATACAGGGGCCTCCCACTTAAGAAGGAGAAGCTGGCAAGATGCTGAGGTGGGGTCAGAGAGGGTTTGAGGGTGAAAACTGCAGAGCAGGGTGCCAGCAAGGGACTCCATGCCTCCTACACATAGCCTAGGGATTATGGCTTCCTTGAAGGGAAGGCAATTGGCTGGAACACCTGTGCTGTTGGTCCCTAGACCCCATGGAGCAGAAAGAAACATCCCTGTCCTTCCTGCTGTGTTGATATGGGGCTCTTTGTTACGGCAGCTCCTTTGTTGCCCTGACCAATACACTGTCTGGAACACGACTGTCACCTTCCTTACCCTAAAGACCCATGTCTGTGAAGCCAGCAAGTAGAAGCCAGCAAGCAGTATGCTCCCTCTACATGCCCCCAAATCTGTTGGAGACAGGTCATTGTCTCCTGTCTGGGAAGCTCCTAGAAAAAAAAAAAACCTGCAATTCAAGGTCCCGTCTGTGTTCCTAGTCGCCATGGAAATGGCCAGACATCCTGGAGGACACATCTAGGGCCCAGGCCTGGAAAACACCCATGGCCAAACTGCTGGCTCATAGTCTCCAAGTTCCTCATTGAAGATCTGAGATCAGCGGCAAATCTGCGGCAGAGAGCTCCGAGGTGATGCAGGGGAATCGTCACTCCTAGGTGCCTATGACGGGCACAGTTACAGACGACAAACTTCCTTTTAACTGCTGTGACTTAAAACAAAATGTGTTTCCCCCCCTAGAACATTAAGGAGGAAGTGTGACTTTCCCAAGAAGGAAACCAGTGGGGGCCATGTGGGATCCACCACTATGAGGCCAGGTCCCCGGCTTCCCCTTTCCATGTCTCGGAGCCCAGCGTCTGGCGATCAGAAGTTGAACTAAATGTTTCCCTCAATCATTTTCCGCTTTATTTTCTGAGACAGGGTCTCCCACTGACCCTGGAGCTCACCAGTTCAGCTAGACTGGCAGGCCAGCAGGTGCCAGGGACTCTCCTGTGTCCACCTCCCCAGGGTTGGGATTATTGGAGCATGCCCCACTCTTGGTTTTTAGGTGGGTTCTGGGGATCAAACTCAAGTCCTCTTGTTTATAAAGCAAGTCCTTCATCCACTAAGCCATCTTTCTAATACTTCCTGAGACGTTTTTAAGATTCAAGACATGGTCACTTCTAACGGGGAAACTGAGCACTCAGAGATGGATTTGGGGTAAACCAGATCCATTGTGGGAGCCAAATCCTGTGTGGAGCGAGGAGTGAGGCAGTCTTCTTGCCTAGTTGCCTCTCATTGGTTCTCACACCTGCTCACCATTCCCAACCCTGGCCCTGAAGCCCCTCCCTTTCACAGCCTCTACCTCTCCAGCATGACTTGAACCTCAGCTGGAGAGACCCTTAAGCATTCAGTGAAACTCAAGTCATGGGCTCAGACACTGGGGACAGTTACCAGGTCTGGCCATAGAGTGACCACAGACCAAAAGCGCTCAACCAGCAATGCAGAAACCCTCCCAGAGAGTGAGAAGCGGGTCGCAACAGGCCAAGGTGGGAATAGGAAGATGAGGGTAAAGGAGGCAAGCCATTGAAAATAGTAGGGCAAACTCAGAGTAGTGGCAAGGGCCTACTTAGGGCGGGCAGCCATATTTGCTCAGCACCTGCCTTAATCTTGAGGGGGTGCAAGGGAGGCTCCCAACTTGAGACCCCTGCCTGGGACCCACACCAGGATGATCATGAATGCCCACATCCTCCCAAGTCCAGAAACAACCCGAGACCAGCAAAGGAGTGAAGAACCAAGAGACACTTGCGTGAGAAGTGCCCTGTACAAGGCAGCAAGGAGCTGAGCCCAAACGGGGAGGAGTCAGACCCCAAGCACAGCTGAGGCCACCAACCCTCCGCTCTGCTCGGGAACAGGGAACAGGCAAAACTATTTGCTTTATTTAAAGAAATATCTTCTAAAAAAAAAACTGAGTTTCACTTCCATACATGGAAGTGAGTCTCGCCATCCATAAAGGAGAAGTGACACAAGCAATTGGAGACAGGTGCGGGAGATGCATTGCAGACACGCCTGGGGCCCGCGGGGACAGGCGTGCCCAAGGGGACACTCGCACACATGGGGACACACATGCCCACAGGGACACATACCTGTGCGTATGGGGCGATGTGTGTACATGGGAACCAGTACTCGCAGAGGACCTGCACCCACAAAAGCATGCAAACACATTGGGCACACGCATGGACC